ACATACTACTAATGACTGTGAATGTTTCCATTCTAAAGGGTATAGGGGGTTAAGGATACAAAAATTGCCGTTGCAGGTATTCTGTTCAAATTGACACCATATATTGCTACCCCTATGAATATAAAATTCTGCAAGTATGAACCCATAATTCGAATTTTTGGGGGAGTTATGGTGGGGGAAAGGAAAATAAAGAAATCCATTTTTCTCGAAAACTACTGAACCGATTTTAATGAGCTTTGAATATGTTATACATGTCGCTAAGACAATTCTAAAAAAAAAATCTCAAAATTTTTTTTTGAAAAAAAGTCAAAAAAAATTAATTTTGAAATTTTCAAAAATTTTTTTTGGGGTGATTTTTTGAAGTGACCACTTTAATTTTTTTTTAAAAGTTACCTTATAATATCCCCTTTAACATATATTTTTTTCAGATTTTTAAAAAATGTAGTTTTTGAATAATTTAACGAAAACCATCGTCGCGCTACATGACGCAGCGCGCACAGTGTGCTGATGCAGTATACAGGGTATTCCAAAAGTATGGAAACTTTCAAATATCTCGAAAAGTACGAATTTTTGTAAAAAAATGTTCAAGACAAAAGTTGTTCCAAACAAAAAGATGTACATCTTTGAAACCAAAAAATTGGGCCCGGAGCCCAATGTTGGGCCCTACAATGAAAAAAGTGGTTTTCTTAAATGAGACCACTAATTTTCAGTATCAAATTCGTAATCCCCATGAAATTCTGCGTTCAAACATGTGGTATAAGTGTCCAAAATATTGGGCCTAATCCAAGATATTGGGTCCAAAATTTATCAACAGATAAATAAATTTTAGAAAATCGCATCTTGGAGGGATTTTGAGATCACAGGATTAGAAATTGAGCATAGAGCCCGATGTAAGATTCTGCAGTCCAATGTGAGGGCCCAATATTTTTGGAATTTGTACCACAAGTCTAAGCCCATAATTTCATAACGATTACGAAATACAAGAAAACTAATTTTTTTACTGCCTCACATTGGGCTGCGAAATCTTACATTGGGCTCTGTGCCCAATTTGAAAAGTAGCTTTGAATTTTTAATCCTGTGACCCCAAAAACTACAAAAGATGCGATTTTATAAATTTATTTATTTAACGAAAAATGTTGGGCCTAATCCCAGACATTGGGCCCAATATTTTTTGGCTTTTGTACTACAAGTTTAAACCCAGAATTTCATAACGATTCTGAAATGGATACTGAAAATTAGTGGGTTTTATTTAAACAACTAATTTTTTTAATGTGGGCCTCACATTGGGCCGCGGTATCTTACATTGGGCTTTGTGTACAATTTGAAAATTAGCTTCGAATTTCTAATCCTGTGATCTCAAAATCCCTCCAAGATGCGATTTTTTAAATTTATTTATTTAACGAAAAATGTTGGGCCTAATCCCAGACATTGGGCCCAATATTTTTTGGCTTTTGTACTACAAGTTTAAACCCAGAATTTCATAACGATTCTGAAATGGATACTGAAAATTAGTGGGTTTTATTTAAACAACTAATTTTTTTTACCGTGGGCCTCACATTGGGCGGCGGAATCTTACATTGGGCTCTATGCCCAATTTGAAAATTAGCTTCCAATTTCTAATCCTGTGATCTCAAAATCCCTCCAAGATGCGATTTTTTTAAATTTATTTATCTGTTGATAAATTTTGGACCCAATATCTTGGATTAGGCCCAATATTTTGGACACTTATACCACATGTTTGAACGCAGAATTTCATGGGGATTACGAATTTGATACTGGAAATTAGTGGTCTCATTTAAGAAAACCACTTTTTTCATTGTAGGGCCCAACATTGGGCTCCGGGCCCAATTTTTTGGTTTCAAAGATGTACATCTTTTTGTTTGGAACAACTTTTGTCTTGAACATTTTTTACAAAAATTCGTACTTTTCGAGATATTTGAAAGTTTCCATACTTTTGGAATACCCTGTATACTGCATCAGCACACTGTGCGCGCTGCGTCATGTAGCGCGACGATGGTTTTCGTTAAATTATTCAAAAACTACATTTTTTAAAAATCTGAAAAAAATATATGTTAAAGGGGATATTATAAGGTAACTTTTAAAAAAAATTAAAGTGGTCACTTCAAAAAATCACCCCAAAAAAAATTTTTGAAAATTTCAAAATTAATTTTTTTTGACTTTTTTTCAAAAAAAAATTTTGAGATTTTTTTTTTAGAATTGTCTTAGCGACATCTATAACATATTCAAAGCTCATTAAAATCGGTTCAGTAGTTTTCGAGAAAAATGGATTTCTTTATTTTCCTTTCCCCCACCATAACTCCCCCAAAAATTCGAATTATGGGTTCATACTTGCAGAATTTTATATTCATAGGGGTAGCAATATATGGTGTCAATTTGAACAGAATACCTGCAACGGCAATTTTTGTATCCTTAACCCCCTATACCCTTTAACTCATTTTTTTATGAAGCTCAGACAAATATTTTTAATTTCATTGAAGCATTGAAAGGCAATTTGACATTTACCTAATACCCCTCGGCACGCAATTCGATTGGAAGGGGTTCATACCTGGGATTCGGCACGCATTTCGGGCACACCGATCCGGACAATTGATCAGGATCTCATATAAAGGAGGAAGCAAAAAGTTACATAGTGCTACACGAATATGTATAAATAATTTTAAAAAATTTTAAACATAAAATAACATTAAAACATATATAGTTATATGCAATTAAAAACCTTTGTAAATTTGAATGGGCAATTTCAATTTTGTGGCGGGCGTCTATCCGCGCTACCTAGTTCCCCCACTCCGACTTCGGGAGCAAGGAAAAATGATGAACTCCCTCTGGCCCTCTTTATAAACAAGATAAAAATTTCCTACAATGTTTACAATTTTTTTATCTTATAGTACATAAATTAAGATTTAAGTACTGTAAATTTGACTAAAAAATATTAATAATTATAGTGTCAGGAAGTTTTTGAAAATAAAAAATTATCCCCCCACTTTAAACTATATCGTTTTTCTTCTTTTTGAAAGTTTTGTAAAGAAAAAAGAAATTCAATGGCGTTTATTACAACTCGACAGAGTAAAAAATGGCCGAGTAATTGCAATTGTTTATAACTAAAAAAAGTACCCTTTTTTCTTTATCGATAATTATGCAATTAAATATTGAAATTCGATAATTTTCTTTGTACATAATAGTATTCCTCTTAAAGAATAAAATGAAAGAAAAAAAATTAAATTCGCTTCATATCGTTCTGTAGAAATTAGGTTGAAAAACAAAATGTTTTTAATTAACAAATGGAATAATTTATAAACTATTCATCCGATTGGGTTGGAAATATTTTCATTTTGTTCAGTATTACGAGGGGCACATTTTCCATAAAGTTTCAGTCCAATCGGATTATTATTAATAAAATTATTAAACAATAAATAAAAAGGCCATTTTTAATGCTTTAAATTCAATAACTTTTAAACAAATAATCCGATTTTAACTTTCGACCCACCATTTTGTAGGTATTTTTTACACCTATCTTTTTTAATCACAACTTTTTCCTCTAAAATGTAGAGGAAAGCAACGAGCATCAAAAAACCATTTTCCGCCAACTTTGATGTTTATTTATAACATTTTCCGCAACCGGAAATGGAGAGCAAACTATGGGGCCTTCATACTATCCCTCCAAACTATCGAAATCCGTTTAGAACAGCCTGTTTACATTTAATGGCACTTTTTGTCTTTATTGACTGGCCTATTTTAGACCAATTCAGGTTTAAAAGAATTGGTGAGTGCAACTCTTGTCGCCAAGTTGAAAAAAATCCTGTTTTACTGTTCTTCAAATCACGGTAATCGTTAATAGAAGATGTTTAACTTTAAAGGCACTTTTCTATCGCCATATTAATAAGTTTAAATTGTTATTTGTTTTTAAAATATTGTTTTCAGTATTTTGGTATGAATTGTTGATACTGTAACGTCCTGCGTTATTTTATTAGATTAGAATTGGTTGGTCAATTAGGCATACAAAAAAACATAAAGATTTTGGATAAACAACAATGAAGGAAGTTTGATTCAAATTGTTGTTTGATAAAAAGAAATTGAGAAGTTTCAAAGCAAATTCATGTTGGATTACGTAAGTGATACTTCATTATTTTATCTTTTACATTTCATAAATAAATTTCATTCAATTTTTGTGAATTTACTAATTTGTTGTAATATATAATAATTTTCAGTTGTTTTGAAAATGTTTTTTTATGATTACACTGGGTTACAAAAAAAATTTAGTAAATTATTTAAAAAAATTAATTGTTTTAAAATTTTGTATTGAAACAACTTAGGGTACAGTCACACTATCTCGTGCAGGCAGAAACATTTGACCGTTTACAATTTATTTAAATATATACTCAGTCTTTAGTAACTTTCTATTTACAACTAAAATTTTTGGAAAATGACTAGAAAGTTACTAAATTTGTACTAGATTTCATCAATGTGTGAACGGCAAAATGTTCTTGCATGCATGAGATACTGTGACCGTACCCTAAAAAAAAAGTTGGCGCGCGCATGTTTTATCTAGTCCAAAGTCAGTTCACACAATCCGCCAGGGTTAGTACATTAACAGAACATATTTTGGAAATTCTCAGGACATAGTTGGAACATTTTTAGAATACTTCCGAGAAAATTTCTAGAACATTTTAGGAACGTTGTTGGCATTTCATAGATATTTTTAGAAAAAATAACATTATTCCACAGAGAGAGTTGGAAACCAAAGGAAAATTTGGAATTGACGCGCTGAAGAGTTTTACATATTTGATAAATATATTTGCTTTATAGTAATTAAAAATTTATAATTTTGTATTATAATCTGTTAAAAAGGGTAATTTAAGTTTCAAAATATAAAGTAGATTGTCTATTAAAACATTTTGAAATTTGGAAAAATTAAAATTATTGGTAAAATTTGATTAGTGTCAGCAATCCTAGAATTCAATGCGAGCTTAGTTCAGACTTACCCCATTTTTCTTGTTTATTAATTGATACTTTTTGAAAAAAGCTTACAAGTTTTTTTTTAGTTATTTTGGTATGTTATCTATTATTATTTCCAGAGAAAACATTTCATTTGTTTGATTCTCTGTATCTTTCATTTTAACTTTTCATCTTTGACTTTCAAAGAACATGTGCCTTATATTGTGCCCAGATTTTCATTCTTTTTCGTTCATTAACATATTTTTCATTGTATGTATTGTTATCTTTTTTAATAAAAATAATCATATTAATAAAAACATAATTAAAAATCATTCTTTAATAAAACAGTATATATGAAATTTCACATGAAGTAAGATTTCAATTAATTTCGATTTCATTAATAAAGAATGTCTCCCTTTACTAATGATCACTTTTTTTCTTCTTGTTACCTTACATATTCCAGCAGTTGCCTTAATATTGTAACCGTAGATAAATGTAAATTCACAATTGTCTGATTTACTCAAAAAGTATTTTTCATTTCATAGTTTAGAAAAAACATAAGTAGTGATTTTTGTCTTCAAGAATATCGCTATCATTTTTAATGATGTCATTTAAGATTTTTTCCATTACTCTCCTCAACTTTCTGAACCTTTTGAAATGAATTTAGTATACCTAAAATAGAAAGTTTATTTTAACACAATTATAAATAAAATTTGATGCAGTGTCAACGGTACAAAAAAAATTTTAACAAGTTTATACAGATAAAACAAGTTGTAAATTCAGATGTTCATTACATGAACATTTTGCTTCCTCTTTACGATCAGCAAAAAAATTTGCTTCCTCGTGGAGAAAGCAAAACTTTATTGCCAAAATGTGAATTTTTAATTTTTTAACTTTCATTAATTCTTTAAATTTACTTCAAATGTATACTTTATATATATCGATCGATTCGTCTTGACGTAAGGAATACAATTATTTCATATATAAACTTCAATTTAAAAAATCACAAAATTTTATAGCCTAAATGTGAATTTTTGATTTTTTAACTTTCATTAATTCTTTAAATTTACCTTAAATGTATACTTTATAAATATGGATCGATTCGTCATGACGTAAGGAAAATGATTTTATTATATATAACCTCAAATTTTTCTATTTACAAATTTTTTCGATTAAAAAAAAATTTTTGCAAAAAAGACGATAAAATTTTTTTTTGGGTATTTTTCAAAATCCTTTGGTCAGATTTGAGATATTAATATGATAAATGAACCTGCCAAATTTTATCTAAATTCATTAAAACCTGTTAAAGTTATCTTCTAAACAAAAAAGGGATCCACACACATACATACATCCGGACAATTGATCAGGTTCTCATATAACATGTTACTATAAAGAAAAAAATTTGTTTCCGCCACTTTTTAAAGTTTTATAAATGAAAGGACTACAAAAATTTCATATATCAAAAAGTTAAAAAAAACTTGCAGAATCATTTTTCGAGTACTTTAGTTTGCGAAACACTGTTTGCAAAAATATTCATTGCACATTTGGAAAAAGTGATTTCTGATTTCACAACTATTAGAAGAGCAATATTTTCTTTTTTTGGAACTGTTTAAATTGTAACTTTTCACTCCACCTTATTTCTTTTCCTAGTAATGCCAACTAAAACTTATTAAAAAATTTTTAGCTAGAGTTTTTCTCCTTCCGATCATGATTTTATACATTGAATGAACCGCAATAAAATTACCGAAATCCATAATTACTTTCAAAAGAAGATAACAAATAACTACAATACTGGTAGAGATCCATATTATCCATAAAGTTTGTTTTAATTTCTAAACGCACTAGGCACTGCTATCACATCTTTACTTTGTTCGAATATCGTTTTCTGACTGTTAGTGGACTAATTCTTACACACAAGTTTAAAGTAAAGAAACTTATTTTGAATCCATATTGTAATGTTATTTGGACCGCTATTTTTGTAATTCATTACTTTAAATGCCCTTCTTACAGAATTTATTTCCAAAACAGACTTCTCCTTGACTCAATGTCTTTGGACGAGTATTTTTTTTAAATGGACGAGTAGATCAGAACTTGTGAAATAATTGTAACAATAAAGATGTCAGTTAGCGAGTTTTTTAGTAGTTTAAAGAAGTAGTTGTAATATTTTGGCGATCTGGCAGTTCTGACAAAACTTCTGGCGGCACCTCATTTAAAGAACTCAAGTTTTGAGTCGGTGGTATTTCCGGATGTTCAGTGGCATCATTTTGTTATCGGCAATAATCCTCAAGGCAGTAACTTTTTCACGATTCCGAGCATAAGTGAGATCCTCAGTTTTACACCCTTTCCATATCGTTACAGTGTCCCCAACAGTAACTGCAATAGCTCCAGCTGCACATTCTGTTGTATTCTAACATCTCGAATATTTGATGAAAGCTTTTCCATCGTAGTGATTGTAATATAGAAATCATCGCTAGGAGATTGGCAGCACCGATTAATATCGATGACCGACTGACCCACATAGCACGACATTTTTTAGCAAGTTTGCACGGCAAACTTACGAAGTTTGCATTGCAAGTTTTCTGCAAACTTGCGAAGTGTATAGAAATGTCCTCAGTGCTGCAAGTTTATAATGAAAACTTGCCGAAAATTTTCAATGATAGTTGCTCAAAATGTGTTATAACTGGTGAATACATTAAACGAACAACAAAACGCAAAAATGGAAAGAAAAATAAGAACCAACGGAAAAAGAAGGGCACAGTATGCTTTCCCGGAACTAAACCTTTTGCAGTTAAAACTGATGAAGACTTTGCAAGAGGTGATTATGAAGAGTTTGACACCGGGAGGGAAACAATTTTACAATCCATTCCAAATTTTGGTTGTATTTCAAATGTTCCGTTAGACTATATGCATTTAGTTTTATTAGGTGTGATGAAAAAACTTCTTAAATTGTGGATTACTGGTCCATTGAAAATTCGATTAAGTGCAGTAGATGTTGGAAGAATAGATAAAAGAATGCGTACTGTTCGTCACAATATACCAAGTGAATTTTCAAGAAAACCTAGATCAATATTATTATACCGTTTTTGGAAGGCAACAGAATTCCGTACATTTCTATTGTACGCGGGGCCTGTTGCTCTACAAGGTATTGTTTCTTCTGAAATATTCGATAATAACAAATAGGGTCAGTCAGTTTCAGGCGTTTAAAGCTTATCTAATTTTTTTTTCTGCTGCATAAAATTAATCCTGGGAATGTAAATAACAACTTTCAAAAAAATAAATCCGCAAATATTACCTTTTAAACGAAGAAACTTACGTAATTTGGGAAAATAAGGATTTTGTCCCTATTTACCCCAACTGATGTAAGAAGATAAATTACATATATTTTCTGCCTTGTGATTAAAAATGTGTTTGCAATATACAGGGCTTTCCAATTGCATATGCCTTAATGGAGAGTAAATCAGAAACTTCATGCATGTTGGTGTTATAAGGTACAGAAAATACGTCCAAATTAAATGTGACATCAGCTATGTCAGATTTTGAGGCAGCTTTGCAAAATTCAATTTCGTTTCATTTTCCTTAAGCCGAAACGTATGGGTGCTTCTTCCACTATACGAAGGTAAAATTTATTGAATTATACCTTCATACGTTATTTTGTTTTTATGTGGCCTTGATGGCAATTTTCTACTTCGCGTCCGTAAACGAATTAAAAAGATATTTGAAGAAAAGCATGTTCTCAAACAACTAATGGCTATGGTTCTTCTGCCACCAGAAAAATTCTTCAAAGATATGAAGAAATATAAAGGACCAAGTCTCAAGAGTAACAACTGATTCTAGCTGTGTTGTTTCAATATTACGAGAATCAGTGGCTTTAAAGGGTTGGACCTGAGGGTTTTAGTGTTCGTGTTGAATAGGAGAACAAATAATGTTTTGGAATAGTACTATATAGAAGATTATCAACAATTATTAAAAAAAAGCCAAGCACCTCATAATTCATAAGTGAGTACGTTATACTGCAATATAACGTACGAATAATTACAAACTTGATTGGATTCGCTTACAACTCGTTACTCGAGGCTTTTTGAGATTGCTGATTACGAATCTATAATTCCAAACTCTTTAATTAAGGCAGCAGACACCAAAGGGTAAATGGATTAAATTTCATATAATAAAAAATTAACAAATTTGGGGTTACAATTCAATATAGATTTTCTTAAAGAACTTAACAAATTTTGATTTTATGATGGTGTATTCAGACAATGAATTTAATTAATTTAGCCATGTCGGAGGCAAATGTTTTTAAAATTTAAACTTTTTACTTTTGAAAGATACAAGTCTCCAAACGCAGCAAGCTTGACGAAAGGTTGGACAAATTTTTTCAAAAATTTATTTAGCCAAATCAATGCTAATTGAAAAATTTCTTTTCTTTTTGACAAATGTTCACAATGTTAAGGCCAAAATAGAAGTTTATGGCATACGGAAGCATACTGTACAGCTGATAATTGCGCCATATTTAAATTTGAAATACCTCCGAATGGCAGAACGGAACATGATATTGCAGTGCATTTTCTCGAAATGTTGGACTGACAAAATGAATGAGTAGTTTAAGGTAAGCATTCCATATTACGTTCTTTCCTTTAAGCATAACAAGTGCTTAAAGACTTCCCGAAAAGATGGCAAAATATGGTATGAAGTAGCACATTGTACGCATACTGGTTGTGCTACTTTCGAATTCAGTATTTTATCCGTAAATCAAAATGAAACCCACTTCACTGTGAATGTATATAGAAAGGGTTTCTTTAAGCATAATAATGAAATCCGTCGCCGCTTCCTCCATTAAGATGAAAGAAATCTACTTTCTTAAGAAGTAAAGCACAAGAAACCTAGTATTGTCAATTTTAAAATTCTTTCCCACATTTTAGAAAGAATTTTAGAGCAAGGAAATAGGAATGAAGCGATAGTAATCGCGATGTAATCTTGAAAAAAATCGAGCTAAAGCAAGCCCAATAACAATTTAGATCCTGATTTCCATATATTTCTTTTTAAATTAAAAGACAAGTATCTTTCAGAAGAGAGATATAAAGGGCTGTATATACAGGGACTTATTTAGGCACAAAATCTTCACTCGTTTCTTGTATTATTGTTTTCAGAAGGTCAAGTGAAATATGTTGTCTCAATTAGCCGTGAACGAAAAGATTTTTCTTATTTTGATGCAACTGGAATAGTTATACAAGATCCATCTGACGGACAAAAAAACATACATCATATCACAATGTCAACTTACTAACTTATTGTCTTGATCTTTTTGTAATTGCAAAAAAAAATTTTAAAGAAGATGATACGAAGCCTATGATAGACAACATTGAGGTCAATTGGACTTTAACTTCAATCATGTTGCAAGTCATTCAACAGCATGTCCCTTCCTCAATACTTAAAATTTATTAGGCATAATGTATATAAAGATACCGGAAAAGTAGAAACCGAGTTAGACATTTCTGTTATACACACTTGCGCATTCCATTTTATCAAAAAAAGATGGGCAAAGCAGTATAATATTTATAAGAGAGGAAACAGCTATGCGTTACCAATGACATGTATTATCCTAACTAACTCATACAACTGACATTTACACTGCTGCTCAAATTGTCATCAACTTGGTAATAGTGTTTGGATGA